AATTGATCAAGAACTGTTACTTCTGAGCTCTGGATTTGGATTTTTGGGGTCATGTAAACATTGATTATTGTTTTTCTAGGAATTGTTTATTCGGACATTTGAAAATGGTGGGAGGTGGAAATAGAAGGGACGAGGGATCGTTTACTGTGAGCAACACCAATGTCTTTGCAGCTCTTGATAGTCTGAGGAAGAAGAAGAAGTCCGACAAGGAGAAGGGCTCGTCTAAGGGAGGTAAGGGTACTTCGAAAGGGTCGAAAGGAGCTTCTGAGGCTGAGAAGCAGGTTTACTGGGCCCCTGCGCCTTTGACCTCAAAGTCATGGGCTGATGTCGATGATGAAGATGATGATGATTACTATGCAACAACTGCTCCCCCACAGGTCATATGGGGTGCTTCAGGTTCGAATAAACCCGGAGAGACTCAGAAACTTCATCCTGTGGAGGTATATATAGTGTATGAAATGAGAAACTCTGGTGTTTTTGTGGTTGGTTGCTTATACTTTTTAATGTGTTTGTTTTTTGTAATGCTCCGTTTCTATTTGTTGACTCGTCTGAGCTGAAAGTAAGCTATCTTTTTCGTGATTTCTTGTGTTTTAGATGTTTTTCATATATTATTTACCATGTCTGTTCTTTTTAAGGTGCTTTTGTTTGAATGGATTTTTACCTTTTCCATTGTATAGCTGCAATCTGTTATTGTAAGCATTGGTGTGTAATTTGTGTGATGAAAGTTTTTCAGCTATTTTGGCTGAATTGATTCGGAAGGGAATTTTCTATGCGTGTCGAGTGTCATTTTTTGCATGCTTAAGGATTTCGATGTTGCTAGAGATGGGTATTTTGTGATGATTCTTTTGTTATGCGATGGATTAGGCAAAACATGGAATTTTTGTTCTTTGTGATTTCATTTAAGAAATGGAATCTTCACAAATCTCTCCTAACTTCTCCAATTGTGACCTCTTCCTTAGGTTTTGAGTTTGGATCGCACTAATTACTCACAGTTTTCCATTTCCCTCAAGTTATTAACTGTGTAAATATGATGTTATGCTAATGTATGCTTATCCAATAATTTTGTGATCCATTTGACTGGTTGATTTGATGACACAATCCAATTACAAATTCGATACTCGGATAATCATTATCCGTCATGATTTGCAGGAAAGCGAAAGTGAAGACGATCTTCTTGATGAAGGGGATGATGACGTGGAAGACGAGCACGACCCCGAACCAGAAACAGAACAAGAACACCCTCAACCGGTGTTGAAAAAGCCTGTTGAAGCTTCTCCAGCACCTAAAGAGGCTGAGAGGCAGCTGTCCAAGAAAGAGAGGAAAAAAAAGGAGCTTGAGGAGCTAGAGGCTATCCTAGCTGATTTTGGGGTCAACCCAAAAGAGAAAGCTGGAGATGAGAGATCTGGTAAAACATGTTAAGCATTCCTTCAATATCGTGTTATGGATAATTAAAAAGTACCCTTGAGGTTTTACTTATTGCCTAACGTCTGAGCTTTTTTTCATAATTTACAAAAAGATACCCCTGGAGAAGGCAAACTGTTGGGAGTTTGAAATTTTTTCTTTCTCGTGAAGAGGACATAAAGATTTCAGGGGTATTTTTAATAATATTTGAAGTTTGTCGGGTCTTCTCTGTAGTTAGATCAAACCAATTCTGCTTTCCGATTAAAGAAATGTTTTGGTTAGTATCACTTCATCTGAGATGGGCTTGAAGTCCCACCTAAATGATCCAAAAGATAGCTTGAAAACGGAGCCTTGTGTTGCTTCAAAATTCATTAATTTGTGGATTACCCTTACAATATCAGAGAATTTGCTATTGCAATTGAAAATTATTTCAATCGTAATGAAGCCTCGAGTAAAACTTTGTCTTCCTTATTATATTTCTGTACTCGAATGGTGAGTGCATTACGTTTTATGTGGTACCTTGAAATTGTAAGGTATTTGTAAATTTGTAATAGGTCCATTTGTTCATTTGCAAACATCGTTTGAGTCACGAATCACAATAATTATAGCGAAGTTTTTGATTTCCGGTTCATCTTGCAGATGTCACTAAAGACAGGAAAGAGGAACAAGCAAATGGAAATACCGACAAGAAGGACAATAACGCCCCTGGGGAATCAAAGAACGCCAAGAAGAAGAAGAAGAAGGATAAGTCGTCCAAAGAGACAAAGGAGCCTCAAGATCAGCCCAATACCTCAAACGAACCCAACGGGCCTGTTGAGTCCCCTAAAGCCCAACATGGTGATGAGGAAAATACTTCTACCTTTGATGTCAAAGATAAACTCAAGAAAATGGCGTCCGTTAAGAAAAAGAAATCGAGTAAAGAAATGGATGCTGCCGCCCGAGCTGCTGCCGTTGAGGCTGCCGCCAGGAGTGCCAGGCTGGCAGCCGCCAAGAAGAAAGAGAAGAATCATTACAACCAGCAGCCGATTCGGTAAGGTGGGTCCTGATCAAGTTTTAACGGGCATTTTTATGGCTCGTTATAATAAAAAAAGACTTTGAGGTATATTGCTTTTGGACATGGATATCATATACATAGTTTTAGTTGGCCCGCCCGGCCCGGACGGTTTCTGGTTGTTGATCATGCTCAATTTTTACCTGTTAGTTCAGTTGTAACATAGTACCCTTGCTTGTGTGTTTATGTGGGAAAATATATTTTCTTGGGCTTTTCTTTCAATTTTTAACAATCAGGATACATGGCAAAAGATTATTGATAGATTATGAATTAATGAGATATTGACAATAGTGTTGCTAAATTAAACGAGTTTGGCTCGGCTCTGCTCGTTAAGGCTCGAGCTTGAGGTCTTAACGAGCCAAGCTTGAGCTCATTTAATGCTCGTTAACGAGTCGAGCTCGGCTTGGCTTGATAAGGCTCGAAAAAAGAATTTTTATATAATTTTTTATAGTTTGGTTTGTTGGAGCTCGATATCAGTGCGTTAAGACTCAAACTCAGCTCGTTAATAGTGATAAACGAGTCTAGCTCGATTTTTAGTTTGTTTATTTAACAAGTTGAGCTCGGCTCGTTTGTAGGCCTACATGGGACTAGTAGGCACATCTTAATATGACTAATCACATTTTAATATGTTAGTGAAAAAATTACGAGATCTTGATACATATTTTGATTTAATTATTTTGAGCTTGGTGTAATAGTTATTTTAGTGTACATTACTAGTAAAAATAAATTCGGAAGAATTGGTGTAATAATTATTTTGAGAATTGTAGAATGTCATTTGCGTAGACTTATAAAATGGTAATAATCAATAAATGACTATGAATTTGTGTTAATCAACCTAGATGAAGATATAAAGAGAAAATTATCTGTCCTTATCTATTGAACACATTCTATTTTTATTTTATTTGTAACTTTGAAAATGAAGAACTAATAATAAAATATTTTATTGCATCCGACACATTTTAATTTTAATTTTATTTAATAATTACTTAAATATTTTCTTCAACTACGACTGTTTTATCAATTTAATGATTTTTATCCCAATATTATTTGACTGGAGATTCCAAAAAGTTTTCATTGAAATATGACTTAACTAAAAGTTAATATATTTAATTAATTTTAAAAATATAAAACCACTCGTGAAAAACAATAATTCGAGAGATAAATGGAAAAATAATTTATGTTATGCTCTTTTTTTAATATAAAAATAAAAAATGAGAAATAACTACTCTAATTTATAATTTATTATTTACTTACTTATATTTACCGGCTCACATTCAGACACCAAAAACATACCTACCTTCCACATAATTTTCGCGCTGTTGAATTCTCCTCCTCCTCGCAGATCTCAAATTCATTTACTCATTTTTTTTTTTCCGGAAGAATTTAAGGTTTATGATCAGGCTAATTTCGCCCAAATTGTTTTCCTCGATCCGTACCTACTCATAAACTGAGGAGCTTGTTTAATACAATTTTTTACAGGGTAGTTGATAAATTGTTGATCCGTTAAAAATGGCGGTGAAGAGAGGGAATGCGTCCATTAGGGATCGGACGCAGGAGTTTTTGGGGATAGCGGAGAGGTCGAAGAAGCCGCTCGCCGCCGTGAATGGGCCGAGCAGCAGCGGATCGAAGCTGGAGGAGCCATCGGGTTCGGCAGTGGCGGTGCAGTCGGAGTTCAACCGGAGGGCGTCGAAGATCGGGCTCGGGATTCACCAGACATCGCAGAAGCTAGCTAAGCTTGCTAAATGTGAGTGTGTTTTTAACTTTTCAGTTAATTTTGATTTGTGAAGCTTGAGAATTTCGTTCGGNGGGTTAAAAAAACAGAGCGGTCACTTGGATTATGAGCTTATGATTTCAATTCGATGCTTATGTGTTTATGGATTATGAAAGTTCAGTTACTGGGGAGTATTTGTTATTGGATTGGATCCACCATACTGCAGTAGTTGGCTAATTATTTGGTTGGCTGCGTTTTCCAGTATTGTGGCCTTTGTTAAACACACTTGATCTGCTATTTGTGAGATTGCTTATAGACAACCTGGTTTTGAATGTGTTATCTTGTTTCGCTTGTACACATGATATCTGGTCCTGAAGGGCATCATAATTCATATTATTGGGTTGTTAATCTAAGTGAGTTATCAGCTGCTTTTTGATTCCCCTTGCTGGTTTGGGATTTGAGAGTAACCTGTGTAGAGTGTCTTATATCCTTCCCTGACAATGAAACCTTTTTATTCTTCATTTCTTTCTTAATCTATCTCTTTG